GCGCTGCTGGTGTTTGCGCGCGAGGACAGCCAGAGCGACGGGTTCTGGTGGGCGTGCGAGCGCGCCGCCTACCGCTGCGCCATCGCCCACTCGGCCGAGGCGGCCCTCGGCCTCGTTCTGGCCTCCCACCCGGACCTCGTGGTCGTCGATGGCCGCAGCTCGCAGCACTTCAGCGCCGAGGCCGTGTGCAGGTGAGCGTCCGGCCACTCGCCAAATTTCGCCAATTTCGCCAGATCTACACTGCAACCGCCCTTTCGTGGAATTGCAACTCTCTGGCTCGCCCGCCACGGGGATAGAGCGTTGCCCCCTCGCACGCTTGGGCTTTCTCGGGGTGCCCCGGGTTTCCTCCCGCGCGCGCGTGTACGCACTCGTTTCGTTGGCTGATAAACACCTTGATATCTAGCGGACCGCAGAGCTTGGGAGTAATTTGGCACCGACTCAGACTGCGTGGCTGCTGCTGCTGCTGCTGCTTTCCCACTCTTCATCTGTGGTGCTTCCTCCTGGCGCCTCGTCGTCCCCTCTGAGTCGTCCTCTCTGAGTCGTCCCCTCTGAGTCGTCCCTCTGAGTCGTCCCCTCTGAGTCGTCCCTCTGAGTCGTCCCCTCTGAGTCGTCCCTCTGAGTCGTACTCTTCGAGTCGTCCCCTCTGAGTCGTCCTCTCCGAGTCGTCCCCTCCGAGTCGTCCCCTCTGAGTCGTCCCTCTGAGTCGTCCTCTCCGAGTTGGAGGCAGTCGCCCTCCAGCAACAACGGAGGGCGGAGGAGCGACACTCACAACAACGAGCGGAGCGCCGAGCAGCTCGCTAACAGCACTTGCCCCAACAGTCTGTTAAGGCTACACGGGGGATTTGTCTTTGTGTGTGTGCAGGTCTATTAGGGCGACGAAAGATTCGGAGCACACAGTGCTGGTGGTGGTAACCAGAAAAATGTGAGTTCCCGCGAATACCACGATAAACACCACCACCACCACCACAATCACCACAACCACAATCACCACAACAAGCACAATCACCACCACCACAATCACCACAAACACAATCACCACAACCACAATCACCACAACAAGCACAATCACCACAACCACAGTCACCACAACCACAATCACCACAACCACAATCACCACAACCACAATCACCACAACCACAATCACCACAAACAATCGCCACAACCACAATCACCACAACCACAATCACCACAACCACAATCACCACAAACACAATCACCAAAACCACAATCGCCACAAACACAATCGCCACAACCACAATCACCACAACCACAATCACCACAACCACAATCACCACAAACACAATCACCACAACCACAATCACCACAACCACAATCACCACAAACACAATCGCCACAACCACAATCACCACAACCACCACAATCACCACAACCACAATCACCACAATCACCACAACCACAATCACCACAACCACAATCACCACCACCACAATCACCACAACCACCACAACCACAATCACCACAACCACAATCACCACAAACACAATCACCACAACCACAATCACCACAACCACAATCACCACAAACACAATCGCCACAACCACAATCACCACAACCACCACAATCACCACAACCACAATCACCACAATCACCACAACCACAATCACCACAACCACAATCACCACCACCACAATCACCACAACCACCACAACCACAATCACCACAACCACAATCACCACAAACACAATCACCACAACCACAACCACAATCACCACAACCACAATCACCACAAACACAATCGCCACAACCACAATCACCACAACCACCACAATCACCACAACCACAATCACCACAATCACCACAACCACAATCACCACAACCACAATCACCACAATCACCACAACCACAATCACCACAATCACCACAACCACAATCACCACAATCACCACAATCACCACAACCACAATCACCACCACCACAATCGCCACAACCACCACAACCACAATCACCACAATCGCCACAACCACCACAACCACAATCACCACAACCACAATCACCACAAACACAATCACCACAACCACCACAACCACAATCACCACAACCACAATCACCACAAACACAATCGCCACAACCACAATCACCACAACCACCACAATCACCACAACCACAATCACCACAATCACCACAACCACAATCACCACAACCACAATCACCACAATCACCACAACCACAATCACCACCACCACAATCACCACAACCACAATCACCACAACCACAATCACCACAAACACAATCACCACAACCACAATCACCACAACCACAATCACCACAACCACAATCACCACAAACACAATCGCCACAACCACAATCACCACAACCACCACAATCACCACAAGCACAATCACCACAATCACCACAACCACAATCACCACAACCACAATCACCACAATCACCACAACCACAATCACCACAACCACAAAAAAATTAGCCCCCCAATGCGGTGTGTAAACATCAGCACTGGGGAGACAAAGGCGGTCAGGCGTAATACTTGCCACACTACCCCTGGTGTACTGTGTATGTACGCTAAGCTTCTTTCGCACCGTACGTAGCCAACCTTGCTAATCGGACGTGCAGTGTTGAGTCTATGGGTAGTGTTGAGTCTATGGGCAGTGTTGAGTCTATGGGTAGTGTTGAGTCTATGGGCAGTGTTGAGTCTATGGGCAGTGTTGAGTCTATGGGCAGTGTTGAGTCTATGGGCAGTGTTGAGTCTATGGGCAGTGTTGAGTCTATGGGCAGTGTTGAGTCTATGGGTAGTGTTGAGTCTATGGGCAGTGTTGAGTCTATGGGCAGTGTTGAGTCTATGGGCAGTGTTGAGTCTATGGGCAGTGTTGAGTCTATGGGCAGTGTTGAGTCTATGGGCAGTGTTGAGTCTATGGGCAGTGTTGAGTCTATGGGTAGTGTTGAGTCTATGGGCAGTGTTGAGTCTATGGGCAGTGTTGAGTCTATGGGTAGTGTTGAGACTATGGGCAGTGTTGAGTCTATGGGCAGTGTTGAGTCTATGGGCAGTGTTGAGTCTATGGGTAGTGTTGAGACTATGGGCAGTGTTGAGTCTATGGGCAGTGTTGAGTCTATGGGCAGTGTTGAGTCTATGGGCAGTGTTGAGTCTATGGGCAGTGTTGAGTCTATGGGTAGTGTTGAGTCTATGGGTAGTGTTGAGACTATGGGTAGTGTTGAGTCTATGGGTAGTGTTGAGTCTATGGGCAGTATGTATGTTGAACTTCTTTCGCACCGTACGTAGCCAACCGTGCTAATCGGAGTGTGCGTCTCACAAACAGCACTTGCCCCAACAGCATGTTGAAGGCTAGACGGGGGATCTTTGTCTTGTGTGTGTGTGTGTGTCTCTCTCTCCCCGCCCTCACCCCACACCCGTGTCCAACTCAGACCGTCTGATCAGGAGGAGGAGGAAAGCATCCTGCCCCTGCTAACGGCTGGCTTCACGCGGGTAAGCAAGCGAGATCCCATGAACCGCGCTACTCGCACAGAAACGATCGGCCGATGAATCTTCTCCAGAGGTCGCAAACGGGTTTTGATTCCTTACCCGTACCGGTACCCGGCCGCACCAGGGTCGCAAACGGCTACCCGTACCCGGTCGGGTACGGGTAGCCGGGTATCGGGTAGGGTACGGGTATCAGGTACCCGATTGCGACCTCTGGGATGAAGCCATGTTGCAGGCGCGGGTGGGTTGATTCTAGGAAACTTGAATTGTGAGAAGAGACAAGACGTTGGGAAATGAGTGACAAACGGTGGCTCACCAGTGACTCACGGTCTACCCGTACCCGGCCGCACCAGGGTCGCAAACGGCTACCCGGCCGGGTACGGGTAGCCAGGGCTGACACAGTTTAGAGAATCGTTCGCAGATTTTTTTGGAAAAAATGTGAAAATCAAATGAGACTTGGCACCACAGGGACAAATTCCACACCAGCACGTGGGGACGTGTGTGTGTGCGCACGCTAGAGGGGTGTGCGTGTGGGGTAGAGGTGTGTGTGGGGTGTGTGTGTGCTCGATGGGTGTGTGAGGTGTGTGTGTGTGCTAGAGTGGTAGCGAAGTGGTTAGCGCGCTCCGCTAAAAACTCAACTACCCGAGTTCGATTCCCGCTCACAATCAACACCAGGGACGATTATCTGAAACGGTCCTGGGGCCTCATCCCCCAGGTCGACTCAGCCTCAAATGAGTACCTGGTGCGGTGTGTAAATATCGCCACTGGGGAGACAAAGGCGGCCGGGCGTGGTGCTGGCCACCCACCCCCTCGTGTGCCGTGCCGGCCTTCATAGGTGCTCGCTAACAGCACTTGCCCCTACAGTCTGTTAAGGTTATACCGGGGATCTTTGTCCTTGTTTTTCGATGTGTGACTTGTATGTGTGTGCTAGAGGTGTGGGGTCTGTGTGTGTGCTAAAAATGTGTGTGTGTGTGCACTCGAGGTGTGATTAGTGTGTGTGTGTGGGTGTGTGTGTGTGTGCTAAAGGTGTGATGAATGTGTGTGTGTGGGTGTGTGTGTGTGTGCTAAAGGTGTGTGTGTGCACTGAAGGTGTGATGAGTGTGTGTATGTGGGTGTGTGGGTGCTAAAGGTGTGATGTGTGCGTGCTAAAGGTGTGTGTGTGCTAAAGGTGTAATGAGTGTGTGTGTGTGGGTGTGTGTGCACTGGAGGTGAGATGTGTGTGTGTGGAGAGCGGTAGTGTGGTTAGGGCGCTGCACTACGAACCCGGCTTCCCGAGTTCAATTCCCGCTCACGGCCACCAACACCAGTGTGACGGTTATCTGAACCGGTCCTGGGCCTCCCCTAGGTCGTTTCGGCCTCAAATGAGCAGATTGTATAAACATCGTCACTGGGCGGACGGAAGGCGGCCGGGGCGCAGTGCTGGGCCCTACTCGCTGACAGCACTTGCCCCGACAGTCTGCTAAGGCTACACGGGGCGGGCGGGCGGGGGGGGACTTTTGTCTTTGTAGAGGTTCGTGGAGGACCACCGAGTGAGCGTCTGCTACAACGAGCTGCTGCAGCTGGAGCACGGGGAGCTCCGTGCCAGCTTCAAACTCAGGTGAGCGAATCTCGCCTGTGTTACCACGACTCCCACGAAAATCGATCGCCCCTCGATCGCCCATTGATCGCCCATTGATTATCCCTCGATCGCCCATCGATCACCCTTCCATCTCCCATCGATCACCCATGCATCACCCCTCGATCGCCCATTGATCGCTCATTGATGATCCTTCCATCGATCACCCACGGATCATGCATGGATAACCTATTGGTCACAATTTGATCACAAATTGATCACACATAGATCAATATTTAATAACCCTTTGATCTCCATCCAATGACACATTGATCACACATTGATCACCAATTGATCACCCATCGATCACTCATTGATCACCCTTCGATCTCCCATAGATCTCCCATCGATCAACCATCGATCACCCATCATTCATCCTTTGAGATCTCCCATCGATCGCCCATCAGATCAGACCAGCAACCCCCCCCCCACCCCGCACCCCTAATTAATTCTAATTAAAGAGATGTCCTGTGCTCGATTGCGCATTGAGGCATCGCTTGGTGCACATCTCCCCCACGTTACAGCTGCTGCAGAGCCAGTGGTGGAAATTCCACGTTCCTATGGCAGGTGCGAGTCTTTCGAGAGGGACGACCGCCGTTGAGCTTCCCCACAGAGCGGCGCTCGTTTGTATTGCGCGCGCCCGGACGACGGACGACTGTGCCGAGTAGACGCCCAAGCGCGACGGCGAGTTGAGGAGCTTGCGACTGGGAGCCGCTCGCTCTGCCGCGGAGCCTCCAGCAGCAATTGATAACGAATCTTATTAGCTGATGATGGCGGCGGCGGCGATGGTGGAGGAGGCGATGATGACGATGATGACGATGATGATGATGGTGGTGGCGATGATGACGATGATGACGATGATGATGATGGTGGTGGCGATGATGACGATGATGACGATGATGGTGATGGTGGTGGCGATGATGACGATGATGACGATGATGATGATGGTGGTGGCGATGATGACGATGATGACGATGATGATGATGGTGGTGGCGATGATGACGATGATGACGATGATGATGATGGTGGTGGCGATGATGACGATGATGACGATGATGATGATGGTGGTGGCGATGATGACGATGATGACGATGATGGTGATGGTGGTGGCGATGATGACGATGATGACGATGATGATGATGGTGGTGGCGATGATGACGATGATGACGATGATGATGATGATGGTGGTGGCGATGATGACGATGATGACGATGATGATGATGGTGGTGGCGATGATGACGATGATGACGATGATGATGATGGTGGTGGCGATGATGACGATGATGACGATGATGGTGATGGTGGTGGCGATGATGACGATGATGACGATGATGATGATGGTGGTGGCGATGATGACGATGATGACGATGATGATGATGGTGGTGGCGGCGATGATGACGATGATGACGATGATGATGATGGTGGTGGCGATGATGACGATGATGACGATGATGATGATGATGGTGGTGGCGATGATGATGACGATGATGACGATGATGATGGTGGTGGCGGCGATGATGATGGTGACAACGATGATGACGATGATGACGAAGATGGTGATGGTGGCGGCGATGGTAAAGGCGACGATGGAGATGATGATGATGGTGGCGACGATGGTGACGATGATGACAAAGGTGACGACGATGATGACGAAGGTGACGATGGTGATGTTGGCGGCGATGATGATGGTGACAACGATGGTGACGGCGACAATAGTGATGGCGATGATGGAGACGACGATGGTGACGATAATGACGATGATGAAGGTGATGATGGTCATGGCAACAATGATGACGTTGATGGTAAAGGCGATGATGGTGACGATGGTGATGATGACGAGATGACGATGGTGACTGCAATGACGATGATGGTAAAGGCGATGATGATGACGATGATGACGATAATGGTGACGATGGTGATGATGGTGACAATGATGGCGATGACAATGATGAGGATGACGGTGAATGTGACGGTGCGGCGAGTGCAGGGCGTGCAACGCGCTGCTGGCCGCTCTGCAGCGCTGCCACGACGCGGTGGAGATCACGAGCGAGGATCACGTGATACAGGTGGGGGACACGTCGCACGCTCACCGCTGCGTGGTTACGCGTGAAAGCGTGGACGTGGTTACGTGTGAGCGCGTGTACGTGGTTACACGTGAAAGCGTGGACGTGGTTACGTGTGAATGCGTGTACGTGGTTACACGTGCACGCGTGTACGTGGTTACGCGTGAATGCGTGTACGTGGTTACGTGTGTACGCGTGTACGTGGTTACGTGTGTACGCATGTACGCGGTTACACGTGAACGCGTGGACGCGCCGTGTACACCCATGTTGGGCACATGTTTTGGGTACATTCTTGCATAAATGTCAGGTACGTGGTGCGTACGTGTTGTATTCACGTTGGTTACGTGTACACAATGCGTATGCAACGTGTAAACAAAATGAGTGGCGCACGCACCATCCACACAAAGTGTACGCAGCATGTACGTGCGATATAAGCACCACGTCCGTGCGTCCGTCCGCGTGTCCATCCGTGCATCCACGTCTGTCTGTCTGGTTCATCCCATCGTGCGTCTGTCCGCGTGTCCATCAGTGTGTCTGTCTGTCTGTCTATCTGCCTGGTTTATTCCATCGTGCATCCGTCTGTGTGTCTGCCTGTGTCTGTCCGTGCGTCCATGTCTGTCCATCTGGTTCATCCCATCGTGCGTCCGTCCGCACGTCCATCCGTGTGTCTGTCCCTCCGTGTGTCCCTCCGTGTGTCCCTCCGTGTGTCCGCCTGTGTCTGTCTGTCCGTGCGTCCGTCCGTCCGTCTCATCCCGCCGTGTGTCCGCCCGTGCCCTGGCCGCGCCGGTGCAGTACGTGAACCCGGCGTTCGAGCGAGCCACGGGCTTCTCGTCGGACGAGCTGGTGGGCCGCGCCGCCCCGGAGCGAGCCCTCGGCTCGGACGCCCGCGCCCACGGGCAGCCGGCGCTCGCCCGCGCTCACGCTCACGGCTCGCGGAACCAGCGGCGAGAGCGCGGCTCGGAACTCGACGAGCAGCAGCCGCAGCAGCCGGTGCCGCCGCCGCCGGCGCAAGAAGAGCCTCTCGCCGACGATGACGACGATGACGGCGACGTCGACGGTGGTGCGGACGATGGCCAGCGGCACCACCAGCAGCAGCAGCAGCGGCAGCGGCAGCAGCAGCAGGAGGAGGAAGAAGACAGCGATTTGATCACGGACCAGCACAGCAAGGTGCTTGAGCGGTGGTGCAGCGGTCGGCGCTAAGAACCCGGCGGCCCGAGTTCGATGCCCGCTCGCGGCCGACACCGGTGACGATTGTCTGAACCGGGTCCTGGGCCTTCCCCTAAGTCGACTCGGCTTCAAATGAGTACCTGGTGCGGTGTGTAAACATCATCACTGGGGAGACAAAGGCGGCCGGGCATGGTGCTGGCCACCCACCCCCTCGTGTGCCGTGCCGGCCTTAATAGGTGCTCGCTAACAGCACTTGCCCCTACAGTCTGTTGAGGGGAGATGGTCGGGAGGGAAACTTTGTCTTGTGTGTGTGTGCACCTAGCCTGGTGCAAGCGCCGCGGTGGCATCACCGCTGCGTAGTGGCATGTGCGTGTACGTGAGTGTGTGTGTGTGTGTGCGCGTGTACGTGCGTGTTCTAGGAATGGAAGGGGACTCTGTACACGAAGTGCAAGTCAGGGAAGACGATCAAACAGATCGCAACGGTCATTCCTGTCATTGGACAGGGCGGGTGAGATCTCACACACACGGACACACACGGACACAACAACAACAACACCAACAACAACCGCCATTCGCTTCTAAGTGGCAGTGACATCACCACGGCGCTTGTGCTAGGCAATGTGCACGTTAAGGCCACGTGAAGTGTCGAACAGTCGTCTACTCGGACACACACACACACGGGCACGCACACACTCACGGACACACGGACAAATACACGCGGACAAACACACACACACGGACACACACGGGCACGCACACACTCACGGACACACACGGACACATGGGCACGCACACACTCACGGACACACACACACGGACAAACACACACACGGGCACACACACACGGATAAACACACACACGGATACACAAGTGGACACACACGAACACACAGTTTCAGACAATTGGAGCGGCGACAGACAAACGGCGCTCACCTCGCCCAGCCGCTCTCTGCCTGTCCGTCCGCCTGTCCGTCCGCCTGTCCGTCCGCCTGTCCGTCCTCACCGCTGTTGCCCAGCCGCTCTCCAGCCGCTCTCCGCCTGTCTATCCGCCTGTCTATCCGCCTGTCCGTCCGCCTGTCCGTCCTCACCGCTGTTGTCCGTGTCTCCCGGCGGACTGGCAGGTGGACGAGGCACTTCGTGTCCGTGCGGTGCCCGTGCAGCGACAACGCCACACAGGTGAAGCTCGCTTCTAGCGGGGAGCACGGGCGGGAGGGAGGGAGTGGGAATGTGGGAGGGAGGGAAGGAGTGGTGGGAATGAGGAAGGGAGTGAAGGAGTGTGGGAATGAGGGAGGGAGGGAGTGAAGGAATGTGGGAATGAGGGAGGGAGGGAGTGAAGGAATGTGGGAATGAGGGAGGGAGGTAACGAGGGAGTGAGGGAGTGGTGGGGATGAGGGAGGGAGTGAAGGAGTGTGAGAATGAGGGAGTGAGGGGATGAGTGAGGGAGGGAGGGAGGGAGTGAGGGAGTGTGGGAATGAGGGAGGGAGTGAAGGAGTGTGAGAATGAGGGAGGGAGTGAAGGAATGTGGGAATGAGGGAGGGAGGGGATGAGTGAGGGAGGAAGGGAGGGAGTGAAGGAGTGTGGGAATGAGGGAGGGAGGGAGTGAAGGAATGTGGGAATGAGGGAGGGAGGGGATGAGTGAGGGAGGAAGGGAGGGAGTGAAGGAGTGTGGGAATGAGGGAGGGAGTGAAGGAGTGTGGGAATGAGGGAGGGAGGGAGTGAAGGAATGTGGGAATGAGGGAGGGAGGGGATGAGTGAGGGAGGAAGGGAGGGAGTGAAGGAGTGTGGGAATGAGGGAGGGAGTGAAGGAGTGTGGGAATGAGGGAGGGAGGGAGGGAAGGAATGTGGGAATGAGGGAGGGAGGTAACGAGGGAGTGAGGGAGTGGTGGGGATGAGGGAGGGAGTGAAGGAGTGTGAGAATGAGGGAGTGAGGGAGGGAGTGAAGGAGTGTGAGAATGAGGGAGTGAGGGGATGAGTGAGGGAGGGAGGGAGGGAGGGAGGGGAGTGAGGGAGTGTGGGAATGAGGGAGGGAGTGAAGGAGTGTGAGAATGAGTGAGGGAGCGAGGGAGTGAAGGAGTGTGAGAATGAGGGAGTGAGGGGATGAGTGAGGGAGGGAGGGAGGGAGTGAGGGAGTGTGGGAATGAGGGAGGGAGTGAAGGAGTGTGAGAATGAGTGAGGGAGCGAGGGAGCGAGTTGTCCTCTCTCTCTCTCTCCGAGTCGCCCCCCTCTCTCCGTCTTCGAGAGCGACGAGCGGACACTGAAACCACGCCGCATGATGTGACACCACTGCACGTGCGTGCGCGCGTGCGTCTATGCACATCGTGGGGGGCAGAGGTCAGCGCGCGGTCTGTCACGAACCCGGTGACCCTAGCTTGACTCCCGCTCGCAACCCCAACGACGGTGACGAATATCTGAACCGGTCCTCCCCCAGGTCAACTCAGCCTTAAATGAGCACCAGTATTGTGGGGCCCTGCCCGGCCTGCATGGGTGCCCGCGAGCCCGGCCGCCACTTGCCCCCGGCAGTCTGCTCAAGGTCCCACCACGGTGGTGGTGGTGGTGGGTGGGGGGGGAGTTTCTACTTCTTCTTGGTTCTTTCGGTAAAGTCACGTAGAATGGAAATAATAAAATAATAAAAGTAAAACATAATTAGATAATTCTCACGACGTTTCGGCCACAACACAAGCAGCCGTCCTCAGGTGAAGAACAGAGCTGTCGATAAGACAGAGTCTGAATGACACGTCCTAGGCTTGGAGCGTCCTCCCAGCTTAAATAGACGCTCCAAGCCTAGGACGTGCCATTCAGACTGTCTTATCGACAGACCTGTTCTTCACCTGAGGACGGCTGCTTGCGTTGTGGCCGAAACGTCGTGACAATTATTTTATTATGTTTTATTATTGTATTATTTCCATTCTACGTGATGACTTTACCGAAAGAACCAAGAAGATGAATCCCTGCAGTCACGAAAGAAGCTTTAAATCGAGTTTCTCCTTCTTTGTCTTCTTTTCTCGTGCACACCTGCAGGGTGAAGGGATACACAGGGAGGAGCGTGGACGTGCGGGCAGCGTTCACACAGGTGCGTATCCCTCCACCGCGCCCGGCCCCCCAATTACTCCTCCTCCCACCCCCCCCCGGCCACCCACCCACGGTTCAGCAGCAAGGATAACGGGTCGATCCCCCGTCAATCCGTCAACGGAAATTGGAATCGGCCGTTTTTTTATTTTTCCGCTGGACGATTACTCGACCTTTGAACCCCCGCCTCCTCCCTGCCTGCGCACTTCCTGCCTACCGAAGGCTGGTAACCCCCCACCCCACCCCCCCCAACACCTCCCGTCCAGCGACACGAGATGCAAGTTCTTATCCCTGCCTCACTTGATGCAGAAAATCTGGCTGTGACGGTCCCACCTGATGACGGAGACTTGTGTTGCCTCCGAAACGTCGTGATTTTTATTATTTAATTTTTATTTAATTTTAATTTCATTTTTTACCTACGTGACTTTACCGAAATAACTAAGAGTATAAATGACTTCCGATTTAAAGCTTTCGTGACTGCAGGGATTCATCTTCTTGGTTCTTTCAGTAAAGTCACGTAGAATGGAAATAATAAAATAATAAAATAAAACATAATAAAATAATTCTCACGACGTTTCGGCCACAACGCAAGCAGCCGTCCTCAGGTGAAGACCAGGTCTGTCGGGGCAGACGTACACTCACAGCGTCTCCCCGACAGACCTGTTCTCCACCTGAGGACGGCTGCTTGCGTTGTGGCCGAAACGTCGTGAGAATTATTTTATTATGTTTTATTTTATTATTTTATTATTTCCATTCTACGTGACTTTACCGAAAGAACCAAGAAGAAGTGTAAATGACGTTTTGGTTTACGCGATTTTGAGTTACGCGCCGTTATTCAAGAACGCGCACCCCGCCGTAAAACGAGGGGAAAGCCGTACGGACGAAGGCCGGTCAGGCCGGTCGTGCCGTTGACCACCCAACCCCCCTCGTGCGCTGTGCCGGCCTTCACAGGTGCTGCCACTCTTTAGCCGCACTTGCCCCAACAGTCTGTTAGGGTTTATACGGGGGATCTTTGTCTTTGCGTTTTCAGTGTGTTTGTGTTTGTGTGCGGAATTGTGTGTGTGTGTGTCTTCGTACTGTGTTTCTTATCTGTATGTGTGTGAACGTGAGTGTGTGTGTGTCTTGGTATGCCTATGTGTGTGTGTGTCTTATGTGTATGTGTGTCTGTGTCTATGTGTGTCTGCGTGCATGTGGGGAGCGGTAGTGCAGCGGTTCGAGCACTGCGCTACGAACCCGGAGACCCGAGTTCGATACCCGTTCACGGCCAACATCGGCGACGATTATCATAACCGGTCCTGGGCGTCTCCTAGGTCGACTCGGCCTCAAACGAGTACCCGGTGCAGTGTGTAAACATCCCCACTGGGGAGACAAAGGCGGCGTTGGCCATCCACCCCCTCGTGTGTCGTGTCGGCCTTTATAGGTGCAACTTGCAAACAGCACTTGCCCCACAAGTCTGTTCAAGGCTATAACAAGGAATCTTTGTGTTTGTCTGTGTGTGTGTGTCTGTGTGCACGTGTGTGTGTCTGTGTGCACGTGTGTGTGTCTGTGTGCACGTGTGTGTGTCTGTGTGCACGTGTGTGTGTCTGTGTGCACGTGTGTGTGTCTGTGTGCACGTGTGTGTGTCTGTGTGCACGTGTGTGTGTGTCTGTGTGCACGTGTGTGTGTGTCTGTGTGCACGTGTGTGTGTCTGTGTGCACGTGTGTGTGTGTCTGTGTGCACGTGTGTGTGTGTCTGTGTGCACGTGTGTGTGTCTGTGTGCACGTGTGTGTGTCTGTGTGCACGTGTGTGTGTCTGTGTGCACGTGTGTGTGTCTGTGTGCACGTGTGTGTGTCTGTGTGCACGTGTGTGTGTCTGTGTGCACGTGTGTGTGTCTGTGTGCACGTGTGTGTGTCTGTGTGCACGTGTGTGTGTCTGTGTGCACGTGTGTGTGTCTGTGTGCACGTGTGTGTGTGGGGCAGACGGACACTCACAGAGACACAAGGACCGGAGGAAAAGCTCTCTCGACGTTCGTTCTAACACGTCCCGAGGCAGTGATGGTGCGGAGACACACGGGGGGAGAGACACACGGGGAGACACCTGGAGACACATGGGGGGAGAGACACACGGGGAGACACCTGGAGACACATGGGGGGGAGAGACACACGGGGAGACACCTGGAGACACACGGGGGGAGAGACACACGGGGAGACACCTGGAGACACACGGGGGGAGAGACACACGGGGAGACACCTGGAGACACACTGGGGGAGAGACACACGGGGAGACACCTGGAGACACACGGGGGGAGAGACACGCGGGGAGACACCTGGAGACACACTGGGGGAGAGACACACGGGGAGACACCTGGAGACACACGGGGGGAGAGACACGCGGGGAGACACCTGGAGACACACGGGGGGAGAGACACGCGGGGAGACACACGGGGGGAGAGACACACGGGGAGACACACGGGGGGAGAGACACACGGGGAGACACACGGGGGGAGAGACACACGGGGAGACACCTGGAGACACACGGGGGGAGAGACACACGGGGAGACATCTGGAGACACACGGGGGGGAGACACACGGGGAGACACGGGGAGACACACGGGGAGACACACGGGGAGACACGGGGAGACACACGGGGGGAGAGACGGAGGGAGACCCACGGGGAGACATCTGGAGACACACTGGGGGGGAGATCTGGAGACGCACGGGGAGATGGGGAGAGACACACAGGGAGACATGGGGGGGGTGACATTGAGATACATATGAAGACATGGGGGGGGGAGACACGGGGGAGGGAGACATGGGGTGGAGGGGAGACACGTGGAGACACACAGGGAGACATGGGGGGGGGGGTGACATTGAGATACATGGGAAGACATGGGGGGGGAGACACGGGGGGGTGGGGGAGACACGTGGAGACACACGGGGAGACATGGGGGGGGGTGACATTGAGATACATGGGAAGACAGACATGGGGGGGGAGACACGGGGGGTGGAGGGGAGACACGTGGAGACACGGGTGGACATGTATGGAGACACGGGGAGACACAGGAGATAACGCTGAGATTTGGAGGGAGAAATGAAGAGACGATGGTGGAGGGGGGGGGGCAGGACACACAAGAAGACACAGGGACATGAAGGCAGACACAGGGAGACACGCGTGGAGATGCAGAAAGACTTTGTGAAGCGGGGACACGCTGGGGACACATACGGAGGAGACAGGACATGGGCAAGTAGACAGACGTAAAGTGCGTGCGTCAGTGTGTGCGTGTGTGCGGACACGTGTGTGCGTGTGTGCGGACACGTGCGTGTGTGCGAACACATGTGTGCGTGTGTGCAGGTGTGTGTGTGTGTATGCGGCCAACACCGGTGACGATTATTTGAACCGGTCCTGGGCCTCCCCCCTAGGTCGACTCAGAATCAAATGAGTTACCTGGTGTAGCGGTGGTGTAGTAAACATCGCCACTGGGGGAGACAAAAGCGGCCGGGCGTGGTGCTGGCCACCCACCCCCTCGTGTGCCATTCCGGCCTTTATAGGTGCTGCTCGCTAACAGCACTTGCCCCTACAGTCTATTACAGGCTACACGGGGGATCTTTGTCTTTGTGTGCGCGTGTGTGCCTTGTGGACAAGTGGATATCTTGTACGTGCATCTGTGTGTCTCCGTGTAATCATGTTCGTATGTATGTGTGTGTGTATGCGTGTGTGTGTATGTATGTGTGTGTGTATGCGTGTGTGTGTATGTATGTGTGTGTATATGTGTGTGCGTGTGTATGTGTGTGTGTGTATGTATGTGTGTGTATGTGTGTGTATGTGTGTGTGTGTATCTGTGTATTTTTGGTAAAGCGCGGTGCTGGCCACCCACCTCCTTGTATACCGTGCCTGTCTTCGCCAACAGCCCTTGCCCCGACAGTCTTCTGACGCTACACTGGGGACCTTTGTCTTTGTGTGTCTGTGTGTGGCTGCAGGAGGCAGCGTCCACCACCGGAGAAACTCGTCCATGGCGCGAATTCACTCGATGACCATCGAGGCCCCCATCACGAAGGTGCTCGCTACCTCCACCAGCACCCATCACGGCGCTGACCTCCGACCCCACTGCTACCGCCCCTCCCCCATCACGTCACTGACCTCCGACCCCACTGGCCCCTCCCCCCATCACGTCACTGACCTCCGACCCCACTGCCACCGCCCCTCCCCCCATCACGTCACTGACCTCTGACCCCACTGCCACCGCCCCTCCCCCATCATGTCACTGACCTCCGACCCCACTGCCACCGCCCCTCCCCCCCCATCACGTCACTGACCTCCGACCCCACTGGCCCCTCCCCCCCATCACGGCACTGACCTCCGACCCCACTGCCACCGCCCCTCCCCCCATCACGTCACTGACCTCTGACCCCACTGCCACCGCCCCTCCCCCATCATGTCACTGACCTCCGACCCCACTGCCACCGCCCCTCCCCCCCCATCACGTCACTGACCTCCGACCCCACTGGCCCCTCTCCCCATCACGGCACTGACCTCCGACCCCACTGCCACCACCCCTCCCGCCCCCCATCACGTCACTGACCTCCGACCCCACTGGCCCCTCCCCCATCACGGCACTGACCTCCGACCCCACTGCCACCACCCCTCCCGCCCCCCATCACGGCACTGACCTCCGAACCCACTGCCACCGCCCTCCTCCCCTACACCAGCTGACCATCATTGGTGCTACACTCAATAGCTGCCACTGACCTCTGACCCCACTGCCGCCCCCCCCCCCGCCATCATGTCGCTGACCTCCGATCCCACTTCCGCTCCCCCCCCCCCGCCCCCTCCTCCCCACACGTCAGGTGATCAACATCATCAACGCGGCCCAGGAGAGCAGCCCCGTGTCGGTGGCGGAGGCTCTGGACCGCGTGCTCGAGATCCTGAGGACCACGGAGCTCTACTCGCCGCAGCTGGGCTCGCGCGACGACGACCCTCACGCCAGCGACCTCGTCGGGGGGCTCATGACGGTGACGGGGGGCGGGGGGTGGCCTGGGGGGGGGGGGGCGAGGGGCGAGGGAGAGGCAGGAAGGATGTGGTGGTGGTGGTCGTGCAGTACCCAGTTCGCTAACTCGCTCGCTAACTCGCTCGCTCGCTCGTTCGCCGGCGGTTAGCGGCCTGCCCATCGCTCGTCTATCGCTATGACAACTACTACTGCTGCCGTGGTTACGGTTTCCGTGAACTTCGCTCATTGGTCGCTCCACACGCGCTGAGGATGGACTCGGGTCTGCTGGAGGCACGCACGGACTGTTCCGGCTCATCCACCACCACACCGTGTTCAACCGCCACTACACTGCAGGCCCAAAACAACACTCGCCCACCAGATGTAAATTCCTCTGGTACAGCCATCGAAGGCTTCACGAACTACGTGGTCGAAATAGATGTTAAATAATGTGGGAGCCAGAGGACATCCCCTGTCACACCCCAAGATGAACAGGGAATGGCTCCGACTCCCGGCCACGTAGTTTTACCCGGGCCCACTCACCATCATGAAGGTCCTTAATGATCGTGAGCAGCGGGTCAGGGGCTCCGAAAGCACGAAGAACAACCCAGAGCCCAGGCCTACTGATGGTATCATAGGCCTTGACCAGGTCAATAAAGCAGAGCTGTAGGTCTTGTTGGAATTCTCTACACCTCTGCTGCAATAGACGGACACTCACCCACCCACCCACTCACATTCACCCACAAACCCACCTAACCAAACACTCACCCACCCACTCACTCGTACATTCACCCATTCACACACCCACTCACTCACTGATACACTCACCTACCAACTCGCACACCCACGCAACACACTGCTGGCCAAATAAACACTCACCTACCCACTCATACACTCAACCACCCACTCACTCGCACATCCACAAACCCACCCAACCACACACTCACTCACACACCCACAAACCCACTCAACCACACACTCACTCACACACCCACAAACCCACCCAACCACACACTCACTCACTCACACACCCACAAACCCACCCAACCACACACTCACTCGCCAAACTGCAGGGTCCTCTACACTTCTCCGCTGACCTTTGGAGTTCCCGAGTTCGACTCCCAGCCACGGCCAATGTCCATTGGCGCAATCCTGAACCAGACTCTGCACCTCCGCCTGGACAACTCCCGTTGCGGTGTGCAATCATCATTGCTGGGGAGACAGGGTGCTGGCCACGTTGCGCCGTGTCATCCTTCATTGGTGCCACTCGCTAAGAGCACTTGCCCCAACAGCCTGCGGTAGGCTACACGGGGGAGCTTTGCCTTTTGTTCCGTTGACACGTTCCTCGTGTCTCGTCTCTGCAGGATGGGCTGCGTCGATTGTCGGGAAACGACTTCATTCTCTCCAAGAGTGAGTTTCATTCAAATCACGTTAATTCATTCCCGTCGATCATTCCGTCTTCACTCGCCGGGCCCTGCGTGAGTGAGGAGGCAAGCGCCGGTGGTGGCTGGATGAATGAGCACACGAGTGAGTGAATGATTTGACGAGTGAATAGTTATTATAATGAATGGATATATCACTTTCTGAATGACTTCCTGAGCGAATGCATCGCCCGGTGGAAGTTCAAAGTTCATGTATTAGGTGTAGCCCTGTGAGCCATTCGGCTCTTGAATCGAGTGCAACCGCAACAAACAAAAAACAAAAACATGAACAAGAAAACATCTTAAAGTGAATATGTGACTAAGTGCAAACAGAAAATCCAAGAAAAGACAGCAAAATATTGCAGAAAAAAGCATCGTACACCAACCCTGTGCAAATATCCCAATGGGATGCAACAACCACAAGACAACTTAGATTAAGGCCATCAGTCTAACTCTGTACTACAACAAACAAACATGGCCAAACCAAAACACTTTTCGAAAATCACCAAAATAAAGCCATAAAAGCAACGAATTTTCACAATAAACGACGTCAACTACATGTACTACCAAAACTCTGCAGCCGTAGCTGGCTGCATGAGTCACTCTACAACAGTAGGAGCATCAGTCGGAGTATCAACATTTTTCAATGCACCTTTAAGATCAGCACACTAATGCCACCACGTGCGTTTGTGGGTTGCACCGAGTGACGTGTTGACTAAATGGATGAATGAGTTGACGAGTGAATGACTCGCCCCCGTGTAGACGCGCAGATCCCACTGCGCATACCCCGCCTCTCTGTCTGAGCAACTAAGCGACTTGATGAATACTCTTTGGTTCTTTCGGTAAAGTCACGTGGGTGAAAATAAAATTAAAATAACTAAATCACGACGATTGCGATTTAAAGCTTTCGTGACTGCAGGGATTCATCTTCTTGGTTCTTTCGGTAAAGTCACATAGAACGGAAATAATAAAATAATAAAAATAAAACATAATAAAATCATTCTCACGATAAATCACGACGTTTCGGAGGCAACACAAGCTTCCGTCATCAGGTGGAACAACCCCAGCAAAGAATTTCTAATCGCTTGTCACATACAGCTCGCTCTCTGCCCACTACAGTAAAAAAAACTAATTACTGTGGTTGTTCCACCTGATGACGGAAGCTTGTGTTGCCTCCGAAACGTCGTGATTTAGTTATTTTCATTAATCATAATCAACGTTTTTGGGTGTTAGATCGCGTTATTTATAAATGTGCCGTAACCCTCCACCACCCGACACGGCCAATCGGCAATAAAAAAGTGTCACGTTGACAAAAGACAAACAGTTCACTGCTTTAGCCCACCGGTGTGTTGAAGCGTGAAACCACAACATTTACAGTTTTTGAGTACAACGTTTCGCTGGTAATTGCATCCAGCATCATCGGGCAATTCGCCTTTACCGAAAGAACCAAAGAGTACGGATCCCTTGCAGTCACGAAAACTTCAAATCTAGACTTGACGAATGACGAGCGGGGTTCGCGATTGAATGACGCAGCGAATGACGCGGGGGGCGAATTACGGAACGACCGGCCGGGGCTGTGTACCGACCGACACGGAGCGAGCGTCTCTCCGCCCCGCGTCTAGACGTGCACCACGCCCAGAGCCCGCTGCGGGTCCCCACGGCACCGGCGCCGGGCGACGCGGCGGTGCCGCCACCCCGAGTCGTCGAGGCGCTCGGCTTCGAGGACCGCTGGGACTTCGACATCTTCGAGGCGGAGAACGTGACGCACAAGAGGTGACGCGCATGCACGTGCGCGGGGGGGGGGCGGCGGGGAGATGCGTGTGTGTGCGCGCGTACTAACTGTGTGTGCGTGTACACGTATGTGTGCGCGTGAGTCAAGGGGAGCGGTAGTGTAGCGGTTAGCGCGCTGCGCTATGAACCTGGCGACCCGGGTTCGATTCCCGCTCACGGCTAACACCGGTGACGATTATCTGAACCGGTCCTGGGCCTCCCCTAGGTCGACTCGGCCTTAAATGAGTACCTGGTGCGGTGTGTAAACATCGCCACTGGGGAGACAAAGGCGGTCGGGCGTGGTGCTGGCCACCCACCCCCTCGTGTGCCGTGCCGGCCTTCATAGGTGCTCGCTAACAGCACTTGCCCCTACAGTCTGTTAAGGCTACACGGGGGATCTTTGTCTTTGTGCGCGTGAGTCAGGCCGCTGGTGTACCTGGGCCTCAAGGTGTTTGCGCGCTTCGGGGTTTGCGACTTCCTGGGCTGCTCGGAGGCGACGCTGCGAACGTGGCTGTCGCTCATCGAGACCAACTACCACTCGAGCAACTCGTACCACAACTCCACGCACGCCGCCGACGTGCTGCACGCCACCGCGTACTTCCTGCGCAAGGAGCGGGTCAAGGTACCGCCCAACTACCGCCTAACTACCGCCTAGCTACCACCCAGCTACCACCCAGCTACCACTTAACTACCACCTAACTACCACCCAGCTACCACTTAACTACCACCTAATTACCACCCAGCTACCACTTAACTACCACCTAACTACCACCCAGCTACCACTTAACTACCACCTAACTACCACCCAGCTACCATCCAGCTACCACTTAACTACCACCTAACTACCACCCAGCTACCACTTAACTACCACCTAACTACCACCCAGCTACCACTTAACTACCACCTAACTACCACCCAGCTACCACTTAACTACCACCCAGCTACACTTAACTACACTTAACTACCACCTAATTACCACTTAACTCCCCTCCCTGCCTCCCTCCTCCTCCTGCTGCCACCACCACTGCCACCACCACTGCTGCACCACCACCACCGCCGCCACCACTACCGCCACCACTGCCACCACTGCCGCCACCGCTGCCACCACCACAACTGCCACCACCGCCGCCACCACCGCCGCCACGACCGCCACCACCACCGCCACCGCCACTACCACCGCCACCACCACTGCCACCAACTCCTCGCTCCTCGGGGCTCCACGGCTCCCCCCCCCACCTCCCCCCCTTCCCCCCCCCCTCCCCCCAGGCGTGCCTGGACCAGTGCGACGAGGTGGCGGCGCTGATCGCGGCGACGGTGCACGACGTGGACCACCCGGGGCGCACCAACTCGTTCCTGTGCAACGCGGGCAGCGAGCTGGCGGTGCTCTACAACGACACGGCCGTGCTGGAGAGCCACCACGCGGCGCTCGCCTTCCAGCTGAGCACGCGCGACGACAAGGGCAACATCTTCCGCAACATGGAGAGGTGGGCACCGTGGGAGAGGGACGGGGTCAGGGGTCGGGGTCAGGGGTCGGGGTCAGGGTCGGGGTCGTGATGGGCGCGACGAGGAGGGCGACGCGGAGAGGCGGAGCACCAGCGAAGAGGCGATGAGGGTGGTGGTGTAGCGACGGTGGTGATGGTGGTTGCGTTGACGATGGGTGGCGGTGTAGCGACGGTGGAGATGGTGGTTGCGTTGACAATGGCTGGTGGTGTAGCGACGGTGGTGATGGTGGTTGCGTTGACGATGGCTGGTGGTGTAGCGACGGTGGTGATGGTGGTTGCGTTGACGATGGCTGGTGGTGTAGCGACGGTGGTGATGGTGGTTGCGTTGACGATGGGTGGCGGTGTAGCGACGGTGGAGATGGTGGTGTGGTTGCCGTTGCACAATGGACTGGTGGTTGTAGCGACGGTGGTGATGGTGGTTGCGTTGACGATGGGTGGCGGTGTAGCGACGGTGGTGATGGTGGTTGCGTTGACGATGGCTGGCGGTGTAGCGACGGTGGTGATGGTGGTTGCGTTGACGATGGGTGGCGG